AACCTCAGGTAGCTTTTAGCAGGGCTCAGCTGCCTGGGGCAGAGTGTGTTTAAGCTGGAGGCACTTGTCACTGGAGCTTGAGGGGAGCCCCTCAGACCCCGCCCAGTCCCTATGTGGTAAGCGGGGCGGGAGGGTGGAAGTCCCATGATCACGTTTACTTAAGAAAAAAGCTCTTTCAAATAATGGCAGAGGAGGAAAAAAAAAAATCAATGAAAATTGATAGGGAATGTAAAACAGGGCTCTGTGTGTGTGTGTGTGTGTGTGTGTGTGTGTGTGTGTGTGTGTGTGTGTGTGTAGAGAGGGGGGGAAGAGAGGAGAGAGAGAGAGAGAGAGAGAGAGAGAGAGAGAGAGAGAGAGAGAGAGAGAGAGAGAGAGCGAGCATTTGCCAGGGCCCAAACTGACCTGCTTGGGGCTCCAGGCCCAGGACGGTGGGGGCGGGGAGTCAATCCCTGGCACGTGCCTGCAGAAGGGCGCTGGTGGCTGGGGGAGGGGTGGCAGCTGAGTCTCTAACTCGAGTTAAGAGAGAGATTAATATATTCAATCTGCTCCAGGGTAATTGAGGGAACAATTGGAGTGTTTTTCTAAAGCCCATAAAACTGCCTCATTTGCAAGGAAGGGCTAGCTGCCTTGCTGCAGTCCGCAGATTTGACAGAGGCAAAAGAGGCAGAGAAGGGACAGGCTTTGGGATCCCAGTACAGGGCAGACTGGGGGGCCAGCCACATCAGCCAGGGCAAGGGGCTGGCAGTCCAGTTCTAGCCTGCTCTCTCCCGCGGCACCTCCCAATGCTTCCTTTTTCGTACTTCCAGAATTATTTTCTCAACCCCATCTCCCAACCTGTGAAATGGGCCACAGCACTCCTCTCGACCAGGACTGTGGCAGGTGGAAACTTTTGAAAGACCAGGGAAGCGGGCTGGCACTGAGGGACCGGGGCATGAACAAAGAGGTGCCCAGGTTTCCTTCCCCACCCTCCAGGCCAGTCGCCTGAGAGTGAATGGGCAGTAAAGAGTGGAGTTAATGAAATCCGCATCGTGTGCCTCTCCCGCTTGAACCACTCCAGTCTCCAGGGCAATGGGAATAGCACATGCAATAGCAAGCAATAAAAGGCATAATGAATTTAAAAGCAGCTAGGAGAGGGAGAGTGAAGACCGGCGGGACTCTGGCCCGAAGCTGGAGGGTTCCTGGGGTAGCGAAAGTGCTGGCCTGCCGCTCTAGCCAGAATCGGGACTTGGAACAAACAGGCTGAATGGGGGTGGGGAGAGGGAGCGAACAAAGGGAAAGGAATGGTGACACCGCCGAGGTGTAGGGACCGAGGGGAGAGGTGAGGTAGCAGGCCACTCCGCTCGCTCCGTGGCCGCTCGGTTCGCCTCCACTTCTTCTTAATAAAAGCCCCCAGCTTGTTAGCGCCAGAGCCACGGTCGGAATCCACAGGCTCAGAGCCAGGTGCTTCGCATTTGGTGATTGCTTTACTAGCTTTTTTTTTCTTTCTTCCTTTCCCTCTTCCTCCGGGGCAAAAACAATAATAATAATAAAATAAATAAAATAAAAAGGTGTTTTAAATGGAAGAAATAAAAAAAAAAATTGAAAGCGTCCTTTAAAAGGCTCCAGGGGAACAGAATCATTTCCATGAAACAAAACTGTGATTGTTTGGGAGAGGAGACTGCAGGGAGGGCTCCCATCACACCCTCCTCCCCTCTTCCTGGGAACCACAGGGTCTTGCAGGAGGAAAGTGAGGTTTGCAATGGCAGGAATCCCCAAGGTAGCCCCCAGAGCTGCTAGCAAGGAATTAAACTCAATGTTTCCAGAAACTCCATCCCTGGGAATTTCCAGCCCAAAGTTTCCCTCTTCAACAGCCCTGCCTGTGGGACAATGTCCCTGAACTTTCAGGGAAGCAGTGGCCCTTGAGGGAGTAATGGCTCAGGACCCAAAGTCCCTTCCCTCCCCCACCCCACTGAGGGGTATAGTTTTGGGGAGTTGGTCAGAGCTCAGACTTGCCTGTACTTTCTACCCTCCTCCCCTCAGAAGCCCTTTGTCTAGCACGGTACAGACCATCTACCTCTTTTCCAATCACTGCCCCTTCTTCTGGGCAAGGACACATGATTAGTCATATGATCTCAAAGCTGCCAGAAGGTGAATTCGGGCAGTACCAGGTGTGGGCAGACACCTCAGGAAGCCCCTGTGCCCTGGGGGAGGGTGACAGCCAGCGGTTACAGAGAACCTGAGGTAGCTTCTGCCTGTGCTCCCAGGATCCTCCTTTGTGAGTCAGAACACCCCGAGGGACCTCCACATTGAGCCTCTGGCTGTCCATGTTGGAAATATTCATGGCAACGGTTCCTGCTAACCGCCCCCACCTCCAGGGAAATATTAGCTCAGAGCAACTGCATTTGGTGTGACCCGTTAGAACCAAGTGACCTGTGCACCATGGCCAGGAAGCAGGAGGATTCAGACTCAGTCAGCAGACATTCACACTGAGCTCTGATCCTGGTCACTCCCTGCCACCCAGTTAGATGCCTGCCTGCCCTTCACCCCATTGTTCTATTCCCCCTACCCCAATGCCCTTCATCTGCTGTGGCTTGGGAAAAAAAAATGGCACACACTATGTAAAGCAAAAAACACTCATGAAACTGAAGGTCTAAGCTGAATAGATTGTTGAGACACCTGGTACCAACAGGGCTGAGAACAGCCTGGAAGGAATGAAATCCACGCTGGTAAGGCTTCCTGGAGGAAACGGCTTTGAACTGAAGCCTCTGTCTCTGGAGCCCAGAAATCTGTTCCTAGACTTGAACTGAATTTTGCTGCAGTTGCGCTGGAACCCCAAAATGAAATTCTCTGCTGTCCCTTCTCCTGTTCACTGCCTACCTCTCTCCAGTTCCTTCTCCTCCTCTTCAGTTCTCAACCAGAAAGCCAGGGGAAGCCCCCTCTCCTGGATAGAGTCCCCCCCTTCCTTATGACATCCTCTTATCTGGACATCCTTGTCCCTATCCACAAGGCAGGGAGACAGTATGGCTAGGAGGGCCCTATGGTTCCAAGCCACAGGTCCAAAGAACCAGTGGGCCCCACTAGCCTTTTGTGTCCTGCCTAGGCCTCCAGGTGACAAAAGGAGGGCCCTGCCTTCCTTAGCCTGAGCTGCTGGCCTGAGCCTGTCTAACTACAAGCATGTCCCCTGTTCACAAGGAGCCCTCCATTGTCTGTGGGCTCCGGCACCGTCATCAGGACTGTGATTGCTGACCCCCCGCCCCCACCGAAGGAGAGCGATTTTCCTCTCCCTTGAAAGCTATTTTCTTGTCTTGGTAGAAGCAGACATCTGACACTTTAAGAGGGAGTGTGGCGCAGAGATGATGACTTTAAATAACAGAAATTAGAGCTGCCGAGGTCGAGGCAGCCATCTCGCCAGCCCCCTCCCCCCAGCAGTCCCAACCTCTTTCACCCCCATTTTACACGGTAGCCTGAATGCACTGCCCATGTGGCCCAGGCTGGCCAGGCCGTGCCGGGACCCAAAGAACAGAGACAGCTTGTTCCTGGGTTCTGAGCCTCCTCCCTAGATAGATAGCACTGTTACACTGAGGGGTGGGGCCCAGGCTCTGGACACAGGGAGCTTTCAGATTCACCTAGACTACCCATCTCATTTCACAACAGAACAGAATGGAGCTGAGCACAGAGCGGGTCAGAGAGGTGTGTTAACTGATTCAGACGTGAATGGACAAAGATTAGAGTGGGCCATGGAGTAGGCCAGGAGGCCTGGGCAAGAGCAGCTGTTCCTGGGTCCCTGTCACATGCCGCCTGCTTACTTTACCTCAAATCCCTTCCTTAGAGACCCCTCCCATGCCTCCCTTTTTGCCTTCAGAATTGAATTCCCACCTCTGCTCTTGGCCGTGGTAGCTTTAGTGCCTCCCACTTCTTCCCCCATTAGGACCTCTTCATGACCAACTCAGTCTACCTCCGGGGCGCTACTCAGTGCCAGCCTAGATTGTGTGAAAGAGAGAGAGACAGAGACAGACAGACAGACAGACATACACAGAGGGAGAGAGAGAGACAGAGACAAACACACACACACACACACATACATACACACAGAGGGGGAGAGAGACAGAGACAGAGACAGACACACACACACACACACACACACACACACACACACACGGGGGGGGGGAGCAGGATAGCTGTGCCTTGGAGTGCCACCTCAACTTGTCCCTCTGCTGCCAGCTGAATCATCCCTTGTTCTTTGCTAGCTTATACTAGACCTCACTCCTGGAACCTTCTCCCCTAAGCCTAAAATTGTCACCCCTAAACCTCACCCACCTTGTGTGGATCTGACACAGCCAAATATGGAATGGAGGAGTGAACAGACAGATGAGTGGAGAAGGGACGGGGGACCCCTCTCAAATGATGGAGGAGTGAACAGACCGATGAGTGGAGAAGGGACGGGGGACCCCTCTCAAATGATGGAGTGAACAGACAGATGAGTGGAGAAGGGACGGGAGATCCCTCTCAAATGATGGAGGAGTAAACAGACAGATGAGTGGAGAAGGGACGGGGGACCCCTCTCAAATGATGGAGTGAACAGACAGATGAGTGGAGAAGGGACGGGGGACCCCTCTCAAATGATGGAGGAGTAAACAGACAGATGAGTGGAGAAGGGACGGGGACTCCTCTCAAATGACACATCTTCTGAGAAAACCTTTCCTGGACTTATACTCCCTCTTCAGAACATTCCTGCCAGCCTTGAGGACCATGTGTGAAACCCATATTGTATCCAACTGTATTGTATCTAGTGACACTCCATTCTTAGGGGCTGACCTAGCCTTGGATTCCACAAGCTTCTACTGTGTTCTACGATTCCCAGTAGATGTTGAGATTTAGTGGAATCCAGAATCCTGGGTGTGTTTTCTCCATCCGTGAAATGAACTACTGCTTGCTCTGTGTATTCTCAACTGGACATGATGCCTCGATGCAGAACATGGCCATAGTGGGAGACCTCCCACAAAATGACTAGCACCCCTCACCTGAGCCTTATGCTGCCAGCGTCCTGGTTCCCAGCTAAGTTCTTCCTGGTCACTGTTGGAGCTGGATGGGCTCACAGAAAAGACTTCTGCCTTGTCACTCAGGACCTCCCTCAAAGTCTGCTGAGAACATAGGAGACTGAGGTTGGGGACCTTAGGGCTTCATACAGCCGGTTTAATTCAGAGGCTGTGTCCTGAGCAGGGACCCAGGAGTACCTACCTGTAGTTCTGGATGTAGTGACATCAGTTCTGGCTGGCTGGGCTCCACAAGGCAGTTTGGGACAGAGGACCTAGGGGCTCGGTGCACGTGGAAGGCCACACTGTAGGTCAGGCCCCCACAGTGACGGGTCGTGGGGTCCTCACTAGCTCGGAGAAGAGCCAGGTTGCCGCAGTAACGATAGAGGTCCTCATGCTCCTGTGCTGTGAGGTTCATTCGGGGCTCATCCGGTCGTGGGTAGATGGGAAAGATAGCCTCACCCACCCTCTGGGCCACTTGTCCTGAAGATCCATCCAGCCTCAGTGCCTCTATACGCAGATGTGCATCATTCTGCCCGTCATTCTTGCAGAACCCTGGGTGGAGAACATGGGTTTGAATACGGTCTCCGGGGATCCCCCTTCTTCTTCCAGGGAGTAAGAAGGACATCCAGGGCCCTGGGGCATCTTGAGCTGAACCCAAGTCTGCTTGGCTAAGATTTCTTTTGTGGGTGACCCCTCACTCAAGGCTCCTTCCCTTTACTTATGCTTCATGTGAACTCACTAGAGTGAGGAAGGAAAGGCTTATAGCCTATGGGAATCATTCTGGGTCCTGACACCACTGTGGACCAGGGAAGCGTTTGGCCAGTTCCTGATTTCTGGCCAGCCATAGTCTTGGGCTTCTACCAGGAAGCCTACCTGGGTTGCTCTCATTCATTCTAAGCCTGAATCTTCTAAATCACTTAGCTATTTTTGACTTAGGATTCCTGCCTCTTTGTACCCAGTCCGGAAGCTCCCAGAAGGCAAGACCAGGGTCTTCTATCCATCTGTGTCTGTTCATTCTCCATTCCTATAACCAGCAGGTGCTTAGGGGACTTCTAGCATTATTCCATGTTCACTGCAAAGACTAAACGTGCTTTGGGCTTACTTCTTTCAAATTCATGCCTCCCCTTTAAGTTCCTCTTCATCCTTGCCCCCTGTGAGAACAATGTCAGCATCCCATGGTACACTGAAGGAAGCAAGGGCTTTTACAGGGCCAGCATTTGCCCAAGGTCACACAGTCACACAGGCAGAGCTTGGAAATCCATCCAGAACTCTGCTCATGGCTCTCCCAGGTCCCTTGGAGCTCCCCAGGGTTCTGACAAGGTCTAGGGCAGAAGTCCCAAGGACCCTGCTTCCTCCCCAACCCCTGACTCCTCTTTGTACCTTTGGGCAAAGTAAAGATAAATTTGTTCCTGGTGAAGGTGAGGCTCTGGTCAGTATCCTGCTGCTCAATGACCTCAGTGACAGCAGAGCAGGCTGGGAGGGGGTCCCCATCATTGACACGCAACTGCACTCCAGCCCCAGAGCCTGCCTGTAGTGGGTTCTCAGCTGACAGCCTCAGGGCGTATCTGCCCTCCTCATTAAATCCCACACTCAAGACCTCAAACTCCAGGTCCAGTGTCATCTCTTCAGCCTTCAGCCTCTGGCTCAGCAAGGATGCAGGGAGGTAGAGATTAGGACCTCTGAAGGCCATGGCTTCAGCCAGGGTCAGAAGTCCAGGCAGAGCTCCGTCCTCTCTGGCTCACAGTCCCATCCTAGTCTGGAAGCAGACAGATTGGGTATGTGGGGCCACACCTCACCCTTCTCTGTTTGTTTGAGAAGGATCCAGGCAACAAGCCAGGAAACAGCCTTAACTGGGGAACAAAAGCAGCAATGATTTCTTCCATTTAGCATTTGATCTTCCAGCAAACATTTATTGAGAACCTACTGTATATGAGGCGCTGTCTTAGGCATTTTGAATACAGCAGTGAACCGAACACACATTTCTGTCCTCAGCCCCACCCCCACCCCCGCAGAAGCCTGTCTTCTAGTGAAGGCAGCAGGCTGAGAAGACAAGCATGAAACGTGGAAACAAATGGCCAGGGCTGGGAAGCTGGCTCAGTCAGTGAATGACTTGCTGTACGTGCACGAGAACCCGATGATTCCCAGAACCTATGTAAGCTGGGAATGGTGGTGCATCCTTATCATCTCAGCACTGGGAAGGTCTAGATAGGTAGATTCCTGGAGCTGGACTGTCAGTCTAGAAGAATCAGCGAGTTCTTGTCTCAAAGAATTCCTGTAAAAGGTTCCTGAGGAATAACGCCCAAAGTTGATGGCTGGCCTCTACATGTGTACCTGTACATACGTGTGTACTCATAAACATATATGTATACTCTTAAACCTATACACACACTATATGCACACACACACACACACACACACACACACACACACCCCACCTCAAGTTCTCAAGTATACAAGGAGATGATATATTCTATGCATTCTATAGAAAAGTGAGGGGCATGTGGGTATGTGGTATTCAGAACTCTCTACTTCTGGGGAGCATGTCTCTACCTGAGAGTCCTTAGTGTGGATATGGGAGAGGCCTCAGGGCAGGGGAGTGTCCAATAAGTATGTGTTTCTGCAGCCAGCTTACCTTGATCAAGACACACAACTTCACTTTACAGAGAACTTGGTCTCTCACACCAAGGTTGTCAATCAGGAATCTGTGCTCCCTGGTCCTGGGTTTCAGTGGCGATCAGAGGATCCTGGACATTCCTCAATAAAGATCAAGTCTACTGCCACTACAACCACCTTACCACTATCACCATTACCATCACCACCACCATCACCACCACCATTACCTACTGTGGCCAGCACAGTTAGGGGCATCACAGGGACCTGGAAGGGAGGGGTAATAGTAGAAAGAGATATAAGACTCTGAGTTCACTTCAAGAACTTTTTAAAATTTTCCCCACTGCTGTTTTCTATGTTGTTTATCTAGCTACTGGAAATGGCATCGTAAGCAGAACTCGAACAGTCTCTTTGACCTCCTAATCTGAGTTCTTCTGCTGCAGTTCCCTGAACATGTGGTCTTGATTTTGCCCTGGAGGACACTCCTCATAGGCTTTATCTCCTGCCTGCTGTTTTCCACAGTCATGGGGCCACATCTGGTTCAGGGTTTGTCCTTGAGGAAGAAACTTCAGACCATCTAGACTCCAACAATTACCACCATCACCACCACCATCCCTGTCACCATCACAGACTGTCACCATCAACAAAACCACCACTACCATCACCACCACCATCCCTGTCACCATCACAGACTATCACCATCAACAAAACCACCACTACCATCACCACCACCATCACTGTCTCCATCACAGACTATCACCATCAACAAAACCACCACTACCATCACCACCACCATCCCTGTCTCCATCACAGACTATCACCATCAACAAAATGGTTATCACCACTACCATCACCGCCACCATCCTTATACTCAGGGTTATCCAATAATATCAATATCACTACCATTAGTGATACTTTCCACTGAGCAGTTTCTGGGCACTAGACATTCTTATGGATCTATAAGGTGTCATAACTATTTCCTGTTTTCTAGATGGAGAATGTGAGGCTGAAAGAATGTTCAGACACTTGTCCCAGATCAAGCGGCCAGTGAGAATTGAGGTCTGAACATAAGGAGTGCAGTCTAGCTACAAACTCCTCTACAAAACATGTCCTAGGATCAACCCAAAAATGTGATACCTTCTGCTGGGGAAACTCTGTAGCCTGAAGCTGTAGAAGGAGGATTTTGAGTCTGTAGAGGATGCTTATGAACAGTACAGCTTACATTCTGAACAGTTCACTTACAGTTAGCCATGTTGGCTGAAAACATTTTCATGAAGGAAAAGACACTGTTTTGAAGATGGCTACTGGCAAGTCCAGTTAAGGGTCCCAGTATATGTGGAAGGTTTCCTTTACAACTGTCAAATTCAGTTTCTTCATGTCCCCAAGGAGACACCAAGGAAGACTTCTAGTGATCCAGCATGTAGGCGACACTCAGTGCATCCCTTCTGTGTGAGGGGCAGCAGTGGGGCAGCTAAGCCATCCTGGAACTCTAGTGGTTTGGAACTCTGTAAGCCACACAGGGAAAAGGCCACAGAATGGCTGTTTTGGGGAGATGGTGTGTTGCAGAGGCTTCCTGAAAATCCACATGTGGCCAGCCGTGGACTGGAAGCTGGGTTTGTCTCTGCCAGGCCTGTCCTGAAACGAAGTGGCTTGGTACAAACAGCTCTATTCCTTCCTGTGTCTGAAGCCACTCCCAGAGATGTCACAGATGAGAAGCCATCTTGCCTGCTCTAAGACCTGGTGACCTCTGTACACTGTACCCCTGCCACCATGCTCCAGCAGGCAAGGCCTGCATGCAGAACTGAGTCTTCCCAGTTGGTTCTCCCAGTCCCTTCAGAACTGCCCACACTCCCTGCTGCCTTCTCTGTCTTTTCTCAAAGCCTCTGAGGTGGCTCGTTGGCTTCAGCGTGCTTTTAGGACCCTCCACTCTCTGGCATCCCATTCCTTTCCAAGTATCCCCTTCCCATTCTGTCTCTAGGGTAGGCTCACTTTGGTGTGTGTGTGTGTGTGTGTGTGTGTGTGTGTGTGTGTGTGTGTGTGTGCGCGCGTGCGCGCGTGCATGCATGTACTTAAAAAACAAACAAACAAACAAACAAAAACTCAGTTGATGGGACGGCTCAGTGGGTAAAGGCACTTGCTATCAAACGTGAAAACGTGAGTTTGATTCTTGAGGCTCGTGTGGCGGAGGAGAACCAGCTCCCCCACAATTGTCCTCTGACTTCCACATGAGCCCTGTGGAACATATGTTCACTCAAATACACAGCAAATAGACAGACAAACAGACAGACAGACAGATGTAATAAAAATTTTTAAGGAAAACAACAATGAAAACTGTGGATCTGGGGATGTAGCTCAGTTGCTAGGATTCTTGCCTAGCACACACCAAAACCTTAGGTTTGATTTCAGCACTACATGAAGATGAGTGTAACCTAGGAGGTACAGGCGGGAGGATCAGATGCTCAAGGTCATCCTTGACTGCATATCAAGGTTGAGGTCAGCCTGGGCTACAGGAGGAAGAGAAGCAACAACAAAACACCAACGGCTTTAAAAATGATGCAGACAGATACAAACAGACGAACAGACAGATAACGCTTTCAAAAGTACAGTTCAGGGGTGTTCTGTTCTCTTTGCTGTGTCATCAAGCTCTCGAACTCTTTATCTCATAAAACAGAAACTGTCCCCCATTAAACAGCAGGTCTCTTCCCCCAGCCCTTATTCCCTGGCAACCTTAACTTCTGCTTCCTGTGTCTGGATGCCTGTTGGACCTGCCCACTCCAGGTGTTCCCATGAATGAAGCCTCACAGCACTGTCCTTTCAGACTGGCTCCCTTCCCACGGGATAACATCCTGGGGAGGCTCAGATTGCACCAGGCCAGGTCCATCCTGCACCTTCGCACTGACTGCCTTTGCTGGTGCTCCTGCAGCCTGACAGAACTTTTACCTTCAGCCCCTCCAGGGACGCTCTCCTTGGCTATCCTGTACCCTTTCCTGTCCTGTTTCAAACGATGACCTACCCATCCTCTATTGACATTTCTTTAGGGAACATATGATGGTTTGTGTGCCCAGGTCAGTAATAGGGACCCAGGAGGTGATTAAAACACCATGGAGTGAATGAAAGAGTGGATTAATTGATAAAGACAGCTTAGCCAGAGCGGGAGAGATGGCTTAGCTGTTAAGAGCACTGGCTGCACTTCCAGAGGACCCAGATTTGATTTCCAGCACCCACACGGTGGCTCAAAATACTCTATAACTCCAGTCCCAGAAAATCCAACACCCTTTTCTGGCCTTTGTGGGATCTGCATACACTTGATGCACAGACATACATGCAAGTAACACACCCATGCACATTATCATAATAAGAAGAAATTAAACACAACTCAGCTTCTATTTGAGGATGTTTCATCTGGATTCCATCTATGAGAGGTAAAGGAGCTTTTGAACTCTACTTGAGGCGCCTTGGTGTGCCCAGAAGCCTTGTGGGTGGGAAGCCGTGACAGACTATATACTACGTGACAGGACAGGAGGCAAGACCACCTGATGCTTAGAGTTCTCAGAAGAGTTCTGGCCTCCATTCTGCAGAGATGGTCGTAGCATCTTAGCAGTCAGGACTGAACGACATCCACATTTTACACTTGGAGAAACTGAGTTCAACCATGCCTAGAAAGACAGGTCTGGACTCCCATCTTTAAGAGCTTTCAAAAGGCTCAAACCTCAGGTGAGGCTGTGCTGGGCGGCAGGGCCTGTCCCCCTTGATTGTGGAGGAAGGTGTAGGGAACCAGCAGTCTCAGAAGGCTGACTTCTAAGACACCTTCTGCAGTCCCAGCATGAAAGCCTTAATGGGGCCCTGGACTCCCCTTTCTTCTGCAGAAGAATGGCCACTCAGAGGCTGCTGGGGTCTGGAAGAGCCTGGGCCTGTAATTAGCCACCCCAGAGGGCCTCTTCCTGTTTCCCACAATGACTCTTTTCAGTCTGCCTGCCAGCATCCCGGGGGCTCCTGAGGGCTCTTAGGCCCCCATCTCCAGGCACCTACCTCCCACTCCCTCTCCACCCACCCACTCTTGGCCTCTGCATAGAGCTGAGTTCTCACCAAGAGCAGGGACATCTGAGAGTCCCCTGGAAGTGGCTGGGACCTGTGGCTGAGAC